CCACTAAGAACGGCTGCGAGGAGACTAATGGTTGGTCAAACACAAGAAAAGTTTAAATGAGCTCATTTTGAAAAAGTACTGAATAAGACAGCACTTTTCAACACCTTTAGGGCACGAGTACACCCTGCTGTCAGGGTCTAGTTTTGAATAAGTACGGAGCACTTTTCAACACCTTTAGGGCACGAGTACACCCTGCTGTCAGGGTCTAGTATCACATAAAGCGCAAGTAGAATATAACATTTACTAACGATATTCGTACATCTATAAGTTTAAGCTTCCGGTTATGCAATAACACAGCCAACCCAATAGTTGATTATTAAATTCTTAACTTCCGGTGATCCAAACGCGACAAAATACATAGAGAGAGAGAGAGAGATAGGGAGATAGATAGATAGATAGATTGGCTAAAAGGTAAAACTCAAGTCGACCTAGCCTTCGACTAGTCCGACTAACAAGGGTTTGTAAAGATGAGTTAGTTTTGACTTCAAACTCGTACAAAACTATCCATCCGTGTTGAAAAAATAAAACCCAAAATTCATTTCAGTCCAGCATTATGTATTTTTTCCAAAAATCTTTTATCAATCAATTGTATTGAAATGCATTGAAACTTGGAAAAAAAGTCTGTAATGTTTAGTATATCAGTTTGTTTCTTTATAAATCAATAATTTCCCGACAAGGCAACGTTCTTGTTTTGATTAAGCAGAACCAACGCAAACGAAACCATCGCCAGAGCCCTTCGACTAAATATGGTATTTATTAACCTGGCAGCTGCACTCTGCACATGCCTAATCGCACTAATCGTTGTTGAGAACAAAGCATGTAAAAAGTCAACCGATTTTGATCGACATCCAGGCATCAAGCTTCAAAGTAACATGATTAAAAAGATAACGACATCAGACTTGGTGAATTGCGTGACTGAATGTGTTAAATCAAAGGGATGCTTATCCATCAATTCTCACAATGCTCGCAACGCCATACACTGTGAGATTAACAAGTCAAACCGGTATGGCATGCAAGCAAACCTGATTAAAACCAGTTTGGATTGGGAGTATTTGGAAAAGGTAAGTTCAAATGGAAGGCTACCGTCACGTGAATTTAGATGCTTTTCAGCAATAGTTGGCGGATCCAGTTGAAAACAGGCGGGGATGGTCGTCCTATCTTTCCGACGTCAAAATAATGTATCTTTTAGGGTTTGTGGCCAACAAAGTCAAGTCTTGATTTAAGGTTGAAAACGGCATATTCCAGATGTCAAAACCACCTTTAAATCTTCTTTTACTTTAAGGAGTATTTTAGCAACTTCCGATGATTGCCCTAAAATATATGCTCTCCTTATAAAGTGGTAAAATAATAAGCAATTATCATTTAGGATGGTGAAGGACAATAAGCTATAACTTGTTGATTTTGTTGTTGTTATTTTCAGGTATTCGACCATCGTTTGCCCGATGCTTGTTTTCAGAAAGGTAAGTTAAAGGACCCGTCCCGACAAAAAATGGTATTTTTTGGAACAAGTAGTTCAAATATATTTAAATACATATTGCATCTTTTAAAGCTTGGTTTTTCAGTTTTTGATAGTTTTTTTAGGGAGAAAGATGTATTTTTCGGACCTCCGTCATGAACGTCTTGAATTACAGTCAACAATGTATGTAGTTAACCGCTCAGAGTTAGACGTGCTCAGTTTTGTAGATTTTCAAACGTTTAAAAACGTTTCTTAACGCAATCGCTTCAAGTATACCTCTCTCTAATATGAATCACTTTTGGAACAAAATGTCGATATAATCGGATGCATGCCAACTATCACCAGTTTTTGACCCAGTTGAGAAGCCAGTATTGCACGCAACTAGAAAAGTAACCATTTTGTCCAAAGGAAAAGTGGAGGTTGACAGATACCACTGTTGTGATATTACAATATTACAACAACCACGTCATAGATACCATATCAAATCGTGCGCTCCTCAGGGTTCGCGCTACATTACTTGTCAAAATTTCAAGGACTTTTCTAAAATAATTAGGATACTACGCGCGCTGTGATTGGTCGAAAACCATGTTTGATTACAGTATCAAAACACGCTCGCGCGCGTCAAAAATCTCTTTTTTCCCGCCGTTTGCATTTGTTGTTGTTATCATTCATTTTCAAGAACAATGAACGAAGAAATGCCTATTTATGATGTCCTCTGGGATGATATCCCAGAAGAAGAGCTATCAAACGTTTTAGAATCTACAGAAGCTGCAGACAACTGCAATGTAAGGAGAATTCATCGTTTCATATCGTATCAAAAGTCAGAATTCTTTACAATTTTCGTATTCTTTTAATTTTAGAAAAGAAATAAAAGACGAAATTCCGTGTTTGATACTCTGATCAAAACACTTGGGATGTAGGGAGAGCACTCGAAAAGTTGGAAACCACTCCGCTACGCGTCGTGGTTTCCTACGCTTCTCTCGTGCTCTCCCTACATCCCAAGTGTTTTGATCAGAGTATCAAACACGGAATTTCGTCTTTTATTCCTTAATTCAAGGGCTTTTCAACTACAAAAATATCGATTTTCAAGGGAAAAAAGTTAAATTTCTGTAATGGGTTCCCTGTGATATCAAGCCGCGCATGCGCTTACAAAAGACACAGGAATCCCAAGAGTAAGCTTGAGCGGGCCATCGGAAAAAAATATGTCCAGAAGATTACATTTTTTAATGTGCTTTTAATCTTACAAGATTGAAAATACAACTCTGAGTAAAAATCAAGGAGTTTTCAAGGATTTTTGTCATTTTTCCCATTTTCCATGGCTTTTCATATCAAGTGCACTTAAAAATGAGTTTCTGAATCAAGGTCTTTTCAAGGAGTTCAAGGAGTAGCGCGAACCCTGACTCCTAAGACCCTGTTTACATGAGATAGGGTGGCCCTAGGGGTAGGGTCAAAATCCTTTGTTTTAAATCCTCGGCCAGGGAGAAGAAAACAAAAGAGTTAGCCCTACCTCTAGAGGCACCCTATCTCATATAAACAGGGTCTAAGAAGCCAATGTCTTCAGCGCGGTTGACCCCAAGTGTCGAAATTGTAGTTTATGGAATGTGCGATTGAATCACGAGAGTGATGACTTAGGAGCCTTTAAAACACCCTTGGCCAGGTATAGATGGTTTCGGATGGCATTCCCCCAGACAAATTCGATAGGCAATGCCAATAACACAAAGCAGAGAAACTTGTATCTGGAATTATATCTCTGTAAAATGACATCTTAGTCTATATTGAAAGCCCTCCTGCATCAAGAAAATCTAATGGCTTTTGTAAGAAGAACGCTAACAGCATATGTGCGAATTTAAGAAAAGCAACTAATGGCTGTTGTCTAAGTAATGGAAAGATTCTAGGAGGAGCCAATGGGCTCCTGGGAGAAGTATGTCTATYATTATGTCCCAGCCAGCTTTAAGTCGCAACTGGTTGCCAGCGAGAAATTCAGGACAAAAGATCTCTCCATTCAAGAAATACTTTCTAAGAATTGTTGCAAGGAAAATGAAAAAAATATTCTAGCTAAAAAAATATAAGCCGTTTTTTAATCATAAAAATCTTTGCCAGGAATTAGTATTTTAATAACGTTATATAAGCCTCTTTTGATCTTAAAAACGTTTGCTAGGAACAAAATTATTTTAAAGAAGGAAGGATGTCACATTTGCTTGAGGGATGTTCAACAACGTTGCTCCATAAGTATAATTTTTATAAATAATACATGGAAGTATGCCAACCTATATACTTGAAAGTTTAATATGTTCTTATATTATCAGATGGTTGGTTTCGAAACAAGTCTGTTGCGTTTAAGTTTGTTAACGAGGCTGCGGGCGCTCTAGAAGCTCGACAGAGGTGTCAAAACATGTCGACAGGCGCAGATCTGGTTTCTTTTGTCGACAAAGAGGAGGAGCAGATTTTTGACCAATATCTTGAAGGTAAGATATTAATATATTGCGCAAAGAAAGCATGCCACATTATACAAATTATTTAATGAAGTGGCGTTGGAATTAGCTTGTTATATATATTTAGATCCTATAAGAGGTCAAATGCGGTTAGCCCTTTCATCTACGAAGAATAGATAAAAACAGTTCTTCCCTCTATTTCTAGGCGTTCGTCAGGGAGATTATGTTTGGATTGGATTCAACGACCGTACTAAAGAAGGAACCTTTGTTTGGTTTGATGGAACGAAACCTAAGTACACAAACTGGTATAAGGGAGAGCCAAACAATTACGGGGGCAATGAGCATTGCACAATTAAATCGCAAAGAGGGGATTTGAAATGGCATGACAACAACTGTTTTAGGCAACATCCATTTGCTTGCAAAGTGTTATGCTCTTAAATGAGATACTTATTTCATTGAATATTCCATTTGCTTGGAAAGTATTGTGCAAATAAAGAAAAAAAACTTACTGAATAGACGTTATCTGAAGGTAAAGCGAGCATCCCTACCACACATGATCCATGAAGAACCTATTAATTGGAGAAAAGAGATACTTCTTAATTAAGGAATTATAAACTGGTTTTAATAATTTGCGTTAAATCATTCGTTTGCGAACCCGGCGCTGTGATAGTGTTAACAACACGTTAAAAAAAACTCGAGTAACAACAAGAAAACCATTGCTGGTGGAGTATCAAGTAGGCCTTCATAAATTATAAAAAAATAAACTCTACCCTTCAATCGCAATTAAAATTACTGGAAGTTCATTCTCTCTATACAATGACAAATGTTTATTTGGTACTGACTGACAAGAAAACAAAAGGACCAGTATAAAATAGCATAACACAAGAGGTAAACATAAGAAATTAAAATTTCTCTAATATTTCAAAATTTCAATTAGGTTACGTCGGTCTAGCAACTTTGTCATTCAAGTATTTATAGATAAATTTTGCCCTTTTTTACATCCCTCGGGTTGTGTCTCATCGTTGTGCATACATTTTGACGAGATAAACATACCCTGTTACACTTAAGGACGTATATGTATAGCTAAGGAAAATATAGTGCCCAAAATTACTAAATTGAGATAAAAATTAGAACAGTATTCAATCATAATAGCTTACAGGCCAACTGTCATGTCAGTCCAGCATTCTCTATTCTCGCCTTCAACCTTTTTTTTTAATATAGATGTTACAATAAGCATCTGCGGCTAATAAGCGGCTGTAAGTGGCACGGTTGCAGTTATTGACAGTCGACCCGATGAAGACTGCACCTCTTACATAAAAGGTTGGTATACCTTAACTAGCTAAAGGCAGAGCAATACGAGAACAAAAAAATAGACAAAATAAGTGAAAGAAAGCCTAAGTCCTTTGATACAAGACTTGAAAAATAACAATGAAATGTTGTGCGAGAATTTGTGGGGTTTTGTTATTCGTATTTCCAGACTTAAAAGAGAGCAAGAAAGCTAAAAGTGTCTCACCGTCGTCTCGTGAGCAAAGAAAATTGGCGTTGATCAGTATAGAACATAACACTTAACGTTATAATAGTTTCTAATGGTCATATTCCAACAAAGCAAAACAAGTATTTCCATGTTCTTAGGGCCTACTGAAAGGATCTATTAGCTTGTATAGTGACTATTTCACAGTATCGTGGACAACACTCAGGTAATTTTTCTTCCCAAAGCAACTTTGGACATACTCTTGAAATAGTAATCTATTTGTACTGCATAGATGTTATTGTTTGCCTGGATTATTTTCCGACAGTATAGGACTCTCTTTTAACTCACAAACTAATAATTAAAAAATCTAGGAAAACGATCGACGAAAATCGGGAAAGATAAGCATAGTGCAACACGAGGAAAAAAGGGAAAATTCTTAAAGGCAGAGTTCTAGTTCACCGAATATTTAATATATAATAATATAATATCACCTTCATTTGCGCATAAAAGTCGTGAACTAAAGCTATTACCAGTAGAGATCTAATGATACATATTTCGGTCTACGGTTATAGGGGTAACCCTAGGGTAGCAATTTTGTTTTTCGTTAAAATTGTTGTGTTATACATGCATTTCATGGGATGAAGGCCACCAGAACACGTCGCCAACACCTCCATTGACAATTCAATTGATCATTATTTCATTTCATTATGTTGGAAATAAGTTCATTCGGCTTAAAATATATACAACGCCGGACATAATGTGTTGTCGTATTGCTAAATATGGAGTACGCTTTCTATCAGGTCATGGACATACTTACGATCATTGCTTCCCTCCCCCCC